AAAAAAAAAGAAAAAGGAAGAAAAAAGAATAAAGTTGGAGAAAAAGTTAATTGTGCATTCTTAATAATACCTCCAGTGAAATACCTCACTTTTTCACTGGTCTTTCAATTTTGGCACACAATCTATAATTACTATCTTAATGTCAACATTTTTAGAGCAATGTTGCCAGAAGCCATGATGCAAAGCGAAAAAGAAGTCTCGCAGCCTCAGGTTACCATAGTAACCCCCGAGAAGCAGCGAAACAACACGAAGAAATACGTGATCATCGCCGCAGTGGTCGTGATCGTGGTGTCCATCTCGGCGACACTTTTGGCCATCGGCATCACTCAGAGGTCAACGGTCGAACTCATGAAGGTCAGCTTCCTTTACTAAGTTTCCTTTTTCAAATCAGGATGGAGCTTTGTCAAGACGTGTTTATCACATATTTGCAAATGGTGTTACGTCTTTTCAATTTAAGTTTAACAAAATTCAGCAACGAAAATGTTTTTGTAATAGAGAGTCCAATACTCAAAGTTTTTCGTTTCGTTTCTCTCTACTTGAGGTATTCCCTGTTAAAAGAGAACTCTGTATGGAAAGAGTATAAACATAATGCCTACCGTTATAAATGTTTTGTTTGTGAAATGATCAACTCATAAGCCTCAATTTTATCTCAGGTCTTCCAAATTGCCTTCAAAGACGGCAACAAAGAATTAAAGCAGCAAGTGGAGATCAGCACCGTAGACAAACTGGAGGCTCTCCACACTCTCCCAGGGGACGGGAACGCCGAGACTTTCGTTCTCCACGACTACAAATCTGTAAGTTTTGACTCATTGTGACCGAAAAGTATATATATATGATAATAATAATAGTATACTGTAAAATAAAATACCACGACTGGGGACCCATAACCCTGCGCAGACCTACGGATATAAATTTAAAATATATAAGTTGTAATGTATAGGATTTTGTGGTAACATGCCTGCAGAGATTTAAATCTTAATGTAGTCCTTGGCCTTTCCCTGAGATATCGTGTGCATACAAATATCGTGACATCTCTTTTAACCTTATGATCGATTCATAACAATATTTTGGTATTTTATTTGAATTAATACCTGTTGGAATTTTAGGGAAAATTCGCCATGAAATTCGCAGACGATGGATCCTGTTACCTTCGTGACATGTCCAGCAATATGGCGGCTGCAGATCTGTCAGAGGTGGAACGCGAGTTTCAGAGAGCAGAGGTAATGTTCATTATCAAGTATTAATTACATGTAGAATACTAAAACACGGGAGTAACAAATATTGAAAGACCCGTTAGCTACAGTTGATATAGCTTTGTAATATTCCTTCTCTTTTGAACAATCAATGGTCAAAGATAAAATCTTCCAGATTCCTGATTTGCATTGAAAATAAATGATTTTTTTGTTTAGAGTTAGTAAATTTTTGCAAACTAAGCGGTGAAAATATCACTAACAATAACTGAATAGATAAAAATAATAGGCCTACCGTATGCAATAACATTTGCAATAATCATAAATTTGTCGTTGTATTTCAGAAATCTGGCGCCAGCATAAATGGCGAGACACACGCCTATTTCAAGGCCGTCCACGATAAAGTTGCCCGCGGAACACTCTCTGACGCCATCTTGGACTTCTGCGACGGTCTAAAGATCCAGCTTCTTCAGCAGACATCAAAAGAAAACGCCACTGGTAAGAATTCGTCATTTTCACCGAACCCCAATTGACAAAGAGCTCACAAAAATCGCCCTCTACTTTTATTTACTTACCCCTGTACTTTTTCCATCAGTTGCCTATATTATTATCATTTTTCCGAATCAGCTCAAAATTAGGCGATGGGAAAATTCACCAAATGATCCCTTTAAATATTTTGTTTTTCAAGTAATACCTACATGTATACCAGGTTGTAATACCCCTCAGAACAATGCATTACTTGTATGGAAAACTCACAACATTAATCGTAATATTCATACACTTTCAGCTTCGACTGAAGTCAAATCCAGAAAGCGCAGACAGACCCTGCCACGATTCAGCGCCTACGCAAACAGAGTTTTCAACAACCTCAATGCTCGTCTCGGACAAATCGGCGGAAAGAAATCTGGCGGCGATGTCGACACAGCATCTGTCGGAGTCCAAGGAGGTCCACTAAGAGGCCCAGGGTTTGGCGGCCCAGGCCCCGTGGATCCTGGTTTTGGCGGTCCAGGCCCCGTGGGTCCTGGTTTTGGCGGTCCCGGCCCTGTGGGTCCAGGTCCACGTGGCCCAGGACCTGCTGCTGGAGGCGGACCAGTCAAGGGACCTGCTGTCGACCCATATGCCCCAAAGAACACCGAAGGTTGCTTTGAACAATCGGCTTGTAAGGTGAGAGAGGGGTGCGTCGTGAAAACTGAGCGCACCTGCGCCGACTATGGATGGTTTTTCGGCAATAGAGGGGGCGTCGGTCGTGGCAGACGCCTTGGAGACCCCAAGTGCCTGAAGTGGGAATACAATGACGTCAAGGACTGTGTCACAGTGAGAAACTGCGAGGAGATCTGCACATAGATGACGTCACAGCGGCGATGGCGTATTTTTTAAAATACTCGATATCTGAACTTCTTAGAAAGACGACAAATTTAACCCCACTTTTGCCATTGTGAATTAGAGAATACAGGGAATGGGGAAAGGACTTACTGGATCATGAAGCTTACAGTTGGAAGGGATGACCACGTTTGTGATTCAACTATGTAGAATATTGTGATAAAATGCGATAAAAATTTCCTCGACTGCATGTGTAGTTTTGTATTTCAGGGCAATGTCTTTGTTTTTGAAATGTTGTTGCGTGTATTGAATGTTTCACTATTTTAACACAACACTTGCATACAGTGTATGAGTGTATATTTATATCTTTTTTGGGGTTTTAGATGAAATAATAAATTATATACAAAACCCATTCATCGCACTTCTTTGTTATTTTCTATAGAAGGTAACTTCACATTTGGAGACGTTTCTCTCCCATGATATTGATCTAACAGCAAATAAACTGATAGAGATCGACAAATGGCTGAAGATAAATAACCTATTTAAAAAAAAGAAAACCGCACGTTTCTTACTCGATTTAGAACAAAATGCTGTACTTGGGTTACTCCCTATCGCGTTTTACGACCCTGACGGGTAGAAGCTAACGAGCTTTATTCAAATCATTCACATTACCGCGGCGGCGCTGAGCTTTTCGGGCACCTTATCGCTACATCCTGCGGTCGATATTAGGTGCATGATCTCTTTGCGATGAAAATGCTGCGTTTATGAGGTTACTTTATGTCAAAAGGCCTCATTACAGGAGAGCGAACGCGTTCGGCCATTTTATATAATTTTATTTTAGCACATATTTGTTTAATAAGAGAAGACAATTTGACATGGTAATTCAATCATATTACACTTAAGTTTTTGCAGTTTATAATTTGCCTTAAAATGAATATCACGTTCAAATATTGTAATGATTCTGAAGTTTACATAATATGTTTGCATAATAGAATACATGTGCACTCAAAGCAATACTTTTTGCTGCATTTCACAAAACTCCAAAACTATAAGCTGGGCTAAAAACCGATAAAAGACGGCTGTGAAAATCCACGTACAACAAGTGCAAGTCGCTATTATTATACATGTATGTGAAACTGAACACTTTCACACAGCATTTAGTGAGTGATTGAAAATCTCATTAAATAACTTTAGTAAATGGGTTAAACAGATAAAAAAGGCAACTAACATTTAAAAAAGATAACATCTAAAGCAAACCCCAATCAGTACGCTTTAAGTTTATCTATGTTTCTATCCCAAGATACGAGTCTCCGGGTCATCCATATTGTATCTTGGTTATTGCACATTACAAAGAGCAATGTCCAGGAGGGAAAGTGCTCTTAAATAACAGCCTGATGGTCAAAGCCTCATTGGAACACTATGTTCCATCAGCCCACAGATAGATACATAGCTTGTTCTTGAGGCGCACAGCCAGAACAGGTATTGCACATTGAGGTAAGCAATACCGCAATGAAAGTATACGCCCATAAGCCATCGGCTGTTTAGACCAACAAGTACCACCAGTGATTGGGAACAGCAGTCTGGCAACAAGCAGTCTAAGCGTAGTGTGTGAACCGTGCTGCGGTTTACAAGGCTGACTGACGCCTTAGTAGCACTCGTACCATCTCCTCTGTAATAAAACACATCCGCTGGTCAAATAGGTGACGTAACTGCCACTATACTACTTCTACTACTACTACTACTACTACTACTACTACTACTTATGGATTCTCTTAGCATGTTAAGGGTTATCGTTGTGTATATTTCACATACCCAAGAAATATGGACAGGAATATTTGATGTATACATATGTTTTATTTGTTTTTAAAAGCATTTAAAGTACAGCCTTTAAATAATGAATGGATAAATTGTCATTACGGCTAGCAAATCTATAAAGATTATGTTGCATTACATTAAAAATAATAATAATAATTAAAAAAAAAAAAAACAGTTTCCCTTTCCCCATCAGGAATTACGTATTTGTGATGGTAATTGAGGTCTTCATATATCTAAAACAAAAATCATTTCATAATTGTTGTCTTCGCACAGAGTGGTTTACCTTTTTTGCACACCAGAGTTATCAAACTCTTGTTGTATACCCATGGCTGCTGTGAAACCTCGACCTTGACCTTTGACCCCGGAAGTACGTCTTTTACAACACCGGTGTGGCCTAAAGACTGAAATTCGATACAGAGTCACAAATCACATCACTTCCATAAATAGAAAGGCATATGAAACCCCATTTTAATTGACTAATTGATGGTCACCACCAAATACTAATCGATTATAAGTGATTCCATTTCCGACCAATCCTTAACATTTTATCAAAATCCGTAACAATCTTAGCGGGACTGTCAACTAACAAACCAAGCCAAAATCAAACCTATCGGAGGTAAAGCTGCTGGCGCTTGTTTAAATACTTGATTTCACTTCAACCAAAATGTTTTTCACGTTCGAACCTGAGATAATTTTGATTTCAGAAAATAATTGAGGATGATATCCTCCACTTAAACCATCTCGTACAAAATATAGTGTATAAATAGATGCATAGGTGGTTGATAAATTATCAAATAAATAAGTAAACGAACAAATAAATAAATAAATACCTTTTCCATGCCCGCTGCCCAACCGCCATGATCCTGTTGTAGGAGTCGTGCCTCCTGCTCAGAGACAGGTCGTATGAGGACAAAGTCGCCTGTCTCTAAATCATCATTTCCCGTCTCTTCCTCCTCGGCTTTAATTAGAACTTCGGGATTCAGGGCCCAGCTAAATGAAACCAATATATAGATAAATAGATAAACTTACAAATAAATTAAAACATCATTGTTAATGTTAATAACACACCCCTCTCCCATAAGTCTCATTTCAATGAGCAGGTCAGTATTCAGGTGATGGAATAAGACACGAAACACGTGATAGGTGCTTTTAAGCACGTGTTTTTGAGCATGGGTCATTTCTATTCACGGTTCTTAATGAATGAATGAATGAATGTGCACTGTTTAGGTTAGGAAGTGAATACTTGGGTGTAGATCGTATATAACTAGTTTCTGAGTGTCACATCTGCCAAGAGATTCATCAGAAAGCTTACTAACCTTTCCAAGAATAATAAAAACTGCATGCGAGCTACAAGAAAATGTATCGGCTATAATTTTAACGACACCCCCCATGCAGTCATTGGGTGTGCCATTTCTGCATCGTTTTAAAGTTACAATCACAGATAAAACATCGCTCCCCTGTACAGAGAAAATATGGAATGTTCCCTAGTGGTGGCTTTCGGCAGTAGGTGTCGTTTGGGTACATGCATGTCTTAAAACCCTGGTCTTGGCAATGTTTAGTGGATATTGTTAACTATATGGCCCTCCAAACAAGCTCGCTACTATTTATAACTTTTAACAGCTTGTTTCAATGTTCACTAGTAGAAGGTATACTTACGTGTCTCCGTTGACGAATTCAACACGGACATTGCCGAACTCCACGCGGTTTACGAGCCCTTTAACCCCAAGACTCTGTCAAAAATATAAAATACAATCGTTCTATTAAGGCTGGGTTAAACGTACTTGTGTATAACAACATCTTTGGCTTACCTTTAAGAGTTAAAGCAAAAACCAGTTCTGTAATTGTGATGTCATTATACCCCTATTGCGTAATATTATCCTTAATACTGTCAATTCAGGGAAAACTATTCATCCACATGTTTAAATGCATAGGGCAATGCGCTTTACTAGAAAGATATAAGGTAGAAACACGTACTACATTTTTCGCGGTTGTCTCAATCACAAATAACAATGTTTTTCTTTAAACAAAATTAACCAATTACAGCTCTGGCGTTATTACAGCAATAAAAAAGTATTTTTTTTTTTACCAATTTCATCCTCTCATTCCACCCGCCGTGCCCCTCCTGTAAAAGTTTCACGATCTCTTCTTCATCCGAAAGTTTAACGATGTCATATTTCTTAAACAACCCCTCCACGGCCACGTCTCTATGTTTGCCCATACTCAGAAGTACACTCTTTTGGAAATCGTCTAAATCCTCACTTGTATCTTCGTCTGCTTCTATTTTCCTTAATGCTTTAATATTGTAGGACCATCTAAATGATTAAAAACATTGGGATAGAAAAACAAGCTGTGACAGTGAAACCTATGTCTAATAATATTAAGTTCAATGGAACGGCGTTTACATGTAGCATGAGAGGACTAAAAAAAAAACGGTCTTATTTGATCTTGGTTTAGACCCGCATTATAACCAAAGGCGCTTAACTGACTTACCGTTGACCGTCTGTGAATCTCACCACTGCACGTCTCCGCGTTTTACTTTCTACTTTCCCTTTCACTCCCAGATACTGAAATAAAAAAATACGCCGCCTCTAGACGAAAGACTTTGGAGACCGTAGGTAAAACGGAAAACGGTGAACGATATACCTGTATATCGAAAATGACACAGTTTCCAGTGGCAAAAAGATAATAAGTTTAACAAACAGCAGGACAGTGTTTAATGGCACCATTTTGGGGAAACAAGATGATAAAATTAACAAAATAGCAAGTTAAAATATCTAATATTGAATATTCATTAATATATGTAAAGTGAGGATACTTGTGTCTCACACAAGCCGGACATACGTGTTTCATCCGCGTGTTCCATCCCCCATGGTTTACTTGAAGTTTCTTCACTTTCTCCTCATCTAAGTCAACTTCTACACGGTCTCCCTTTTGGAGCTGTAAATTTTAAAATGTTCAGTAAATGAGTAAAGTAATTAATGTTTATTCAAACAAAGTACAGAAGGATATATAGAGAAATGAGCATGTAAAAAGTTGAAGAGAATAAAAACAAAACAATACAATACACTATAAAAACATGATAGTAAATAAAATGACATTGTATATTTATTAAGCAACCGTACAAACAGTCAAAATTGTACTGTGATCATGATAACTGATTAAAATAAATAAGAACAATTCATTAAATCAACATAAACTGAAAGTACGCATATTATATTTTCTGTGACCATGAAGTCATGGGTAACATGCAGGTATTTTGGTACCCATTTAGTTTAAAAATGACTTTGTAACCTTCGCTAGATCACCATCGGTATCTCCGTCGTCATCACTGTCATCAGATGTTATCTGCTTCAGAATTTCGTCAAGTTGAGAGTTTCTTTCTTCTAAAGCCCTTAAAAATCCCACTGCTCCACTGTCCTCTCTGATGGCACGTTCCAAGTCCTCGTGCACCACTTGCTTGGTCACTTTTAGGGCTAAGGCAGTCACGTCATCCTCGGCTCCAGCATTTTTCGACATCTCGTCTGATCTCGTCTCTGCGCGATGTTGTTCCAGCATTGCAATGGGCTCTGCCTTTGGTTTTGGAGGTGGAGGCGGTAGTTTTGAGATTTGACCTGTAAATTATAAAGATAATACGGTAAATACTGCACAATTTTAAATCAATTAGAAACTAAAACATTTTAATTTAATGTCTCAAATCAGTAATACAGATTTAAAGTCACTTCTTATTAATAAATACGATGTAAAAGGCAGCTATATCTAAATGTTTTTTTTACATGTATACTAGGGCAAGAGAAAACTTATCAGAATTGTAAATGACAAATTAGATTAAGGCATCACAGGCAATTGTCTTGCTCTTTTGTTTAACAAAGATTACCTAGCATGTTAAATTATAATGATCATTTTACATTTTACATTGCGACAAACTAATAGTCCCCCACCTNAATCTTTCTCTCGATATTGACATCGATTTTAAAAACCTAGGACGTATTTTTTTTATTGAAACAACGCATGGGAATCATCTATTAAATGTGCAAGCTTCGCATGGAAATTCATTGTTTACATCGATCAGATGTAGGTCAAGTGATCACGTGACCCCTTTCCGTTGCTTTGATTGGTTTAAAGGGTAGAACGGCAGCACTTGGAACTACTCGGATGTCTCCGCACTCGACAGTCGAGGATTGCCGATTGGAACGGCAGGGCTATTCATTTTGATGTTTTGGCATAAATACTATCGCAATTATCTATATGTTGGCGCATCCTACGGTTGCCGAATTTATTGTGGATATTTTTTAACTGTTTATCTTCATGGCACCGTGAAAATTGTCTGGCCACTGGAGCTTTTCACACAATGAAACGATAGACCAGTGTAGGTAAGGGACTATAAGAATTTATTTACTCACTAGATGTATTTTGGTGCGTCATCGGCCATCTTTTTCAGTCTCAACGAGACCTAGATAGCGTATCAAAATATCTCTTATAAGTTCAGAATTTCTTAGTTTGTGACAGAGAACATCTTGTCAACGTTGGAAGAACCAATTTATGTGTCCTAAGTTCATCATTGCCTTGCTCATTCTGAGAGGAATATTTAATATAATGCACCAACAGAAAAACAGAATAGCTTACTGAATATCCCCTGAAGCATTTCGGTGACTTCTTTTGAGAGGGGCCTGTTCGACTTGTCAAAGCAAACCATTTTTTCTATCACTTTTTTCACTTGTTCCACCAAAGTCCCGTCAGATGCCCGCTGTCTGACCAACACCGGGGGGTCTAACCCCGACTTCGCTGCGTTCAATAACTGTAACCCGGGGGGAATAGCCATTCCGGCGTCTATGTCCTCTGTAAATATAAGCATTATTCAAATCGAGAAGTATATAAATAATAATGATAGGGCAACTTCTAAAACCAATAAACTTTGCAAATATCTCAGATTTGAAGCTCTAGATATGTTTGTTTTTATTTCAAATTATTTGCGACCAGAATTACAATACATATAATATAGAGCTGTATGGACAACATATTATATACTAGTATTATACATGTATACACTATAAATTACAAAATATATACATGTACCGGTGCAATGTATAGTAAACATTGCGAAACATATACATACCTTTGTACATGGGTAGAATATCCTGAACTTCATCAAAGTTTATCATCCCGAGAAAAATCAGTCCCATCGCGAAGATGTCGACAGACGACGTGTACCCCTCCTGTGAGAACTGCTCCGGGGACATAAAACATGGCGTCCCGGCCACCGTGTTCATGAGGAAAGTCTTTCCTGTGTCTGCAGATTTGCTGAGTCCAAAGTCCGTTACCTTGACGACAGGGCGGTCATCTGTGGCGCCATAACGCAACATTCTGAGAACAAGAAGGAGCAGTTAGAATATCACTGCAAGGGTTACATATGATCTGGTGTTACTTTGTAATAAGAGAAAATCGCAAATTAAATATGTTGTTCGCATTCTTTTTATATAAAAAAAAAAGAGATTTAGATATAAATTTAGCCGTAATGGTCATTCTTTTGGGAACACACGCAAATGCAATGGTAAAATTTTAAGACTAGTTAACATTTTAAAGGTGAGATCTATTTTTTCATAATTCATATTAACTTATCATATTGTCATATTAAATGCTCCCAGAATCACGTGTGTTTTTTAAACAAGCAAAGTCAGACAAAGGTTTATCGTAATCGATTGAAAAGTTTGCATTGTGATAATATTATGTAGGTTAGCCATGCAGTGGTGATTTACATAGATACAGCAATAAAATCTATTCGTGGGCTTGCAACTAAATCTAAAGGCTCCGTGAGGGAGATTCAATGTCAAGTCCTGTGCTTAATTAATGCAATAATAACTCTTCCTTTGAGATTCAAAATTCCGCAAGAAATACATTGTAAACAACGCATGGACATGTATTCTATTGCATTTTACCACTAAAACGGCTGTTATTGTTGTAAAACTTAAATCTGTGCTTGTCAATAGGGCTTTCGATGCCTTTCTTTCAGGTCGTCAAGGCATCCGTTGCCAATGACGCTGCGGTGTCACACGGATTCTCGCGTTCATTCGAGACCAAAATAACATATGGCGCCATATGCGTGATGCAATCCGCAGACGTAGGTTGCAAGTTTTTGTACAGTGCGTCCGATAACGAAGAGCCCAGAACTGCACACATTTTAGATATAAATGCATTTTGATCAATAAGACGGATATATCTTATGAATCTTATATAATTGTTATATAGTGTTGTTGTTGTCTGCTTTTCCCGCGGTTTAAAGTAGGTCACCAGAAAATATCGCTTGAAATCACGTGACTACGCAATGTCAGAGAGGGCCCCGTCAGTTAAAATCTCTTATAGTCTATTGAGAGATTTTAACAAAAAACCAAACGTTTAGGAAAAAAACCCTGGATTAACTTTGAATGCAGGAATGGGGTCGTTGACCATTGGAAAGTACGTGGAAATTGCCGTTTACTCCAGGAAAATCCAATTTTGATCAAAATGAAGAGTTACTATGACTTTAAAAAATGCATTTTCATTTATGTTCATCGTGCTTATATTCTTACATATTCTGTGGCTTCAGATCCCTGTGTGTTACTGGCTCTGGTTGAGAATGCAAGTGGTTCACTGCGGCGCTCACTTGGAGCATTAACTCCAGCTTTGTAGCATCCGGGACTGGCGTGTAGTTCTTGAAATAAGCGGTGAGGTCGCCACAGTCGCAGTACTCCACCAGGATCCAGTAGGAGTTACCATGGTATTGGAAGTCCAGGAGTTTTATTATGTTGTCGTGTGACGGGACGCTCTGCATAGCTTTAAGCTCTGCCAGTGCATCTCCGCCTTCGGGAGTTTCTTTTAATTCTATCTGCTTTGCTGCAATCTGAGCAGAAAAAAATATTGACATACATACATGTATGTGGCGTAATCTGTATATATTATCTAAACGATTTCATATATCATTAATTAATGTTTATCTCTGCTTCCTATTTTAAATGTCAGTGGATCAGTGTGACTAAATCTACTTATCATATAGAACAGCATAATTTATAAGAACTCGTGATACTCGTGATATGCTTTTACACTTTCCGATACATTTTGACTGCAGGGAAACGAAAGTGGCTAGGCTCCTAAATGGAGGGGGAAAAATAAGTAAAGAGGCTTCAAATTCAGCGGCGGGTTTAGAGGAGGGGGGTCAGGGGGGTGCTTCCTTGTCCGTGAATATAGTTTTCATTTATCTTTCTATCATTCATTCATCTATTTATAGATAAGCTTCTATATATCTATTTACACTACTTTAAATTATCCGTAATTTCGTTAAATAATATATTCACCCGTTATACATTTTTACATAATATATATATGTTTGTTCCGCACCCACCTGAGTCTCAGTTTTAGTATCAACCCCTCTGTAGACCACTCCAAAGGCACCTTGTCCCAGTTTATCCAGCATGTTGACCCTGTACCGACCTAACTTCACAACGCACTGACTTTCCGCCATCTTGTACGTTTCTAGAAAAACAAAAACTAGCTTCATATATGACCTGATTACTGTTGAAAAGCGATGCTGTGAGATGAGTGCATGGACATGACATGTACCTGTATATAATCAGACCCTAGGATACAAGTTGTGCGAATATCTGACCCGATTGGGAGGAAATAGTGTATGTGTGCATGTATGTGTGTACGTGCGTTTGTGAGTGTGTGGGTTTGTGTGTGTATGTGCGTGTGTGCACGTATGCGTGTGTGTGTGGGTGTGAAGGTATGGGGTGTGGGAATACAAAATCTCGCATTGTTCTGTTAGTATTAATTTTGCCTTATCCTTGCAATGGACTCCATTTTGTATCAGTTTGTGTCTTGTTATTCTTTTCGAATAAGTCGGGGGACTAAGGTTGCACGAGCCTCTCTTCCACACCACTGTTTCAACATTGGAACTAATGTACCGGTAGCAGTTGTGTGTCCAAGGGGGTGGAGGGGGTGGAGGGGGGGGGGGGGCAAGTTTGCCCTCACTTAACTACTGAGCTACAATGTACATGTCGACCTGCCCCCCTCCCTTTTTCAACCACAAAAAAAAAAAAAAAAAAGAAAAAAAAACACACACACACACACACATCACAAAAAAATGGTAATATGGAAAATACGAGATTTTATGTTCCTTTTCTTTAGAAAACCTACTAAAGTTAACCTTAAAGATGCATAATAATTAAGTGAGAGTAAAGCAGAGTGAATTCTCTGTTACGGTCACAAATTACACCTCAGTCGTTTTCTTACACAATCAATAAAATACACAAGCCCCCTCCCCCTCAAAATAAGTAATAATAAAATAAATAAATAAAATAACCCACATTAGTCACTTGATTAGCCGAAAAAAAAAATTCAGATTTCTAGGCCTACCCAATGGGGCTAATGTACTTATACTTGCCCCCAAGAAACGAAGGGATAAAATGAAGAAAAAAACTCTGTGGCATTTCTTTTAATTATAATATTTATAAGACTATATATGACGGTGCCTATAGGCCTATAAATTTGGTCGGGAATAATTTATCTACTGCAGTATGTCTACTCGCTGATTACATATAAACTTGTCTACTGTTAATATTTGCAAAGATAACCGAGACAAACTTTGTTCCTCTCCACTACACCCCTTCCCCCAACCATCCACCCAACCTTAATTAGTACTTAATACATGTACCCCACATGAAGATCGACACACGTACAGGTGGTTATATATATAGACATGTCAAATATTTTAAGACTCCAACTAGGTCTACTTCTTTCTCAATCTCCTGCTTGCTCCTGTATTATCAAGAACTATGAAGTCATACGTGTATGAGTAATAACACTTCCACTTCATAGTTTCTTTCTAATCAACATTGGACTAAAATGCCGTATATCGACTGTCTTGCTTTTTCTCTTTATCAACATCATTCATAAGGACAACTCACCGGTGAGGTATCGCCTCAATTACGTTGAGCTGTAATGTAACTACAGTAAAAGCAGTTAACGATCGATTTCCCCTGTCATCTGTCTATTGAATCACATATATATATCGGTACGTTCTTACTGCGGTGTAACTGCTGACTAAATTACCAGTAGCTATTTATAGATCAGGGACTCTTTTTGTTTTGTTTTATATGCAAAATGAAAGAACAGGAAAGTTCCACATCAACACAGTAAGTTTTGGACAGGTTTAAGTACACAGCATCCTTGGAATTTGCTGTGCGTCCTGTTTACTACTTGTTTTTGTTTATAAAAAACCCTCAGCCTAATAAAGCTACTCATAGCTACAATAAATCGAAAATATCAGGGTGCAAAATATGGGGGTCGAGGCAGCAAAAATGGGGAATCCCCGTTTTAGGTCACGTGATCCAAATTCCCCTTGTGATCAAAATATCGATAGACGGGGACGAGGCTCAGTTATCGGACCCCGAGCTTGATCGGATGTGACCATAGACTGCTCTTTCTCCTGGTCTAATAGACAAATATACTCTACATGTAGCAGCCGAGTTGAGCGACCGAGGGTCTTTTTAAAGATCGCTAGAAGCAGGTAGGACAATGTAGGCCTTTCCAGGCTGCAGATCATCGATACGTTATTTATACGGCAACAAATAAACGATAAACATGTAGGTGTGAAGATTAGTATAAAATGGCGTACAGGTGACGCACCCACACCCATATCGTCTTGCGTTAGAACATGCAGAATAAGCTAGTAAATTACAAGAACATGTAAATAGGAATGTTTACGTAAAAATGTTTGTGTAACTAGGGCAGATCTTGACCTCTGTAATGGTATGTATAGGGGGAGGGAGAGTGCTTTCGATATCGAAAGTACACCTAGTACTCCTGACTTCCGGTGTTACAAGACAAGTGGTGGAAATACCGGTAGCAGGCATCCTGATGATTCATTTATTGTTGATCAAGGATTAGGTGTATGGAATTTAGGTTGACCCGAATAAGTTATACACAGAATTTAACAGCTAATACAATAGGCCTATATCAGACCCATAGCCAGCAATTTCAAAGGGGGGGGGGGGGTCGATCTTTCAACCACGATACATTTGTACCTAGATCAAATTTTAGCCTTAGAGGGCCCTTTCTCGTCAAAAGGATGGTTCGTTCGAAACTTCTCCCCCCAACCCCCCTACATGTGGCATGTTTGAATAAACTGGTAAGTAAAAAAGATATGGAGGCAGTGCACTAGATAAACAGTGTTGAAGAAAAGTTATTGTAGGCCTATATGTGAGGGTGTGAGGATGGGGCTATGATGGCTGAACCAAGTGTGTGTGTGTGTGTGTGTGTGTGTGTGTGTGTGGAGGGGGGGGCACTTGTCACATTTACTAGAAGCCCCCCCCCCCCATAAAAAGTATACAATATATAGAAGTCCATTGTTTTACACTTGCTGGGCAAAGTGACATAAAGCTTTTTTATCAACCATCTTAATATATCCACAGTATGGTTTATAACACTGTCTTATAGGGAATGTCGGTGTGACAGGAATGTTAGCACTAGGAATGGAAGTACGGGCCCCATATGCAGAGACGGATAAGGGGGGGTGTCGGGGGGGGGGGGTGACCCCCTCCTTCAGTTTCTGAAAATAATCACACCAATGGTCCCCTTTTGAAATTAGAATTTTGACTAGCTGAATCATAGTCTTAAACCGTACCAGATGGCATTGTTCGCCCTCAGCAGGTCCCGAACTCCACGACAAGGAAAGGGGGTTGGGGTGGTTAGGGTCGGCTTTGCATCCGAGGACCCCCTCTGGATCCGCTCCTGCATATGATTAGTACAGGTTAGGGTTAGTCGGAGTATTAGAGTTAGTATTTGGGACGAATGTCACCTGTACATAGTAATGGGAAGCGGACCACGGTTCCTAGCGAACTTCTATTGCTGCTACCCCGACACTACTCGGTTCTTACCCTAAATAATTAAGCCACTGAATGCATTAAGTTTTTTAATGGATATTCAGCGTATATGTTTGTGCTGTATGTAGTAATCCATAGCGCAGTGCTCTCTCTCTCTCTCTCTCTCTCTCTCTCTCTCTCTCTCTCTCTCTCTCTCTCTCTCTCTCTCTCTCTCTCTCTCTCTGTGAGTGAGTGAGCAAGAGAGAGAGGGATGGAGATGTACTCGGTATTAATGCCGTTCGGTCCAGGCGAGGGAGTAGAGGGGGTCGAGTGCTCCATTAGCGTCCGTCACTCCCCTTTCTGATATCCACGCTCCACCAAATGATTGATTAACACTAAATTTCTTTTCCAGGTAAAGAAAGGGTTGAGAACCATGGCTGCAGCAAGCGACCCTGAGTGCTCTGTACAGCTAGGGAAGTATGTCTATATCAATATGTTTACCAAGCTGGGCCAGGGGGCATTTGGTGTGGTCTACAGGGGTATGGATACCAAGAGAAATATTGATGTAAGTATTATATAGAGATTTGATGAGTCAATTTGAGCATTTGTTGACCATTTCCCGTGTCGTTTGCCATTTAGGCCCATCTTAAATCATTATTATCATGTATACTTAAAATTAAAAGAAATTGAATACAAAAATTGAATAGAAATAGAAATATTGATTCGGCTCAAATGACACCAGATTTATCTATAATTGAATTATCTCATTGAGTATCAGTAGTAGTGGAAGAACAGTGACCTCTAGCTTTTTCATTAAGACATAATTTGCGTATTTATTTTTTAGTAGATGTTATTCATTTAATTTTTTCATTTGCTTTTGAGATATACTGTATAAGGTCTTTTTGAAAGTGAAAGACAAAATTGAACCAAATAGTTTTCATGGTTGTCTTCATGATGTTTTCATTGTTGTCTTTTTTTTTTGTTATTTTTGTAGTCGTTATTATATTTCAAACACAATAAGAATATTAAAGAAAAGCGATGATCCACCATTTTTTCTCGCAGGTGGCGGCAAAGCAGCTCGAGATCAAAGACGACAAAGGTGGCGCTGACGCTATGTCAGAAATCAAGACACTCCAAAAACTCCCCTGCCATGCCAACCTGGTGGCGCTGTACGATTTCCACTTCTTCAGAAGTTCGTTCTGGGTCGTCATGGAGTTCTGCAACTGCGGGGAGCTGAAGAAGTATTTTGATGACCACAAGCCGGTGGACCAGGCCACCATGATGGACTTTATGAGGCAGACGGCCGCCGCCGTGGATTTCATGCACTCTCTAGCAGAACCCGTTATACACCGAGATTTAAAACCAGGGAACATGTGAGTAAGAGGTCGAATTTAATACTACAGATAAAAATTAACAGTGACAGCTAGTTGTGATGATTTTTGTTACCATACGTCTGATTCTTTGATCTATAGGTTCTCTGTACTGCCTTGTTTGCACAAGAGCAACAATTATGAATTACTAGCACAGTGCAAAGCTCGAGAAAATGAAAATGTCTAGTATTTAGCGTGGGCAGTGTATTTTTAGTTAAAATAGTCTATAATAAGACAGTGCGTTTAGAAATCGGGTTGAACCCGGCAAGTGCCCTTTAGTGACATGTGCATGCTAGGTTCTACTAGGCCCTACTACATGTAGTAGTACGTCAATAAACCTGTATTGATCTGGAGCTTTAGCTTGGCTTCTCACGTACCGGTATCTTTGTATATATAATACCTGGCACTGTATTTCAGAAATAAAATATCGCTGGCATTCCATAATTTACAGTTGTAATTCTGTGTTGAAGGAATGTTTTTACTGTAGTTTTGTTCTCTGTGGAGCTCAACTATCGCAATCCTTCTGTCACAACCTTCACTTCACAATGAGTGTTTCAAAAATAGAGCAAGCTAAGGGGTTACGGAGTATTTCTTTAACTATTTTAGAACACAAGGCCCGCCAAAACTTTTAGGCCTTCATACGCCACCACTTAACCACGTTTTTTCAAGTTTTATTTCATTTAATTTTAGACTATAAATATTGTTGGTAATATTGTGGAGGAACGAGAGGGGAGGGGGCACCCACTCGATCAGTCTTGTAGGTGCCCCCCTCCTTCCCTCAAAGGTATAAAAAGCGACACGACATCAAATCAAAATTTTTTTTAGAATATCTCAGATTAATATTTTGCTCGTCATGATTACATATAACATACCGGTATAACTAAAACACATCACTCAACTCTCTTTCTTTACAGAATGTTAAAGCAGACCTCTGCCGACCCCAAACCTGTTATAAAGGTTACGGACTTCGGGCTGTCCAAGGTGGCCGATGTGGACTTGTCCAAGACGTTTCTAATGACCACTGTGGCGGGGACCCCGTGTTTCATGGCTCCAGAGCAGTTTGCTAAAGAACCGTACACCGCCGCTGTGGACGTATTTGCGCTGGGGTTGATATACTTGGGGATGATATATTATGAAGAAATAGGCGACATTTTGCCTTTTACAAAAGGTGAGTGGAAAGCTGCGTCCGGTGCTTTTTTAATGGATGAAATGTAATACATGGGTATAATGTGAAATATGCTACAATCTTGGTAAACGTGTTTTTAAAAATATTTTTAGGGTGATACTGATTTATGTCTAAAATGATATTTCCTAATTGATTAATATGATCCATACGGTATTTATGTAAGATACAAGTGTAGCAGCGAAAAAATAGACAAACGGCTCAGCTTTTAAATTATTTTTATTTGGCACAATCTGAAGGCCCATTAGACTGATCTAGTGGCAGTCAGTGAGTAACGACATATCTAGTCACAAAAGTCTGATGAGGGTCTCCGACTAAGTTGACCACAATCTAAAAAGTGGTGAGGAAAAACTTCCAACCTCAGTCAAATGATTATGATTTATATTCAAATACCAAATCAATGAACGTAGGCCTACATGTATTTGCTCGAATTATTTATACCTTTGTAAATGATATATTATATTATATTATATTATATTATATTATATTATACACCAATGGTGTTTGTTTCAGAGACCTACTCCAGTGGAATGTTACTTCCCCCTGGCATGATAATGCTCCAGTCACTTAAATCAGGAATGCTCGCTCCCGATCTGGTACAGCACAAGACGGCAGACGACTCTGTGATGACGCAATTGAAGGAGCTGATTGGTCAGATGATCAAGGTACGGGCGAAAGACAGGCCCAAGTCCGCGTTAGTGCACGAGAAGTTGAGGACGATGTGCGGTGAGTGGGAATACTTACTCTCGCGTAGGAATATTCAATTTTGTCCATATCTTAAGTTGATACCCTTGCATCCGTTTGTATAAATTATACGAAGATAAATGATGGCCATTTTTCACCCAATACCTGGCAAATTTGAATCTTTATGGTCCAGCACGACTTCAAGAGTAGGCCTACTTGTAGATATATAAACGACCTTTTAAATATGAAGCACGCATGCGTCTAACCAGTTATAGATTTCAGTTGCACCTTAAACAAATATATATATTTTTGTGCATTTGTCTGAACGTGATTAAATGCAAACACTATATTTCCATGCATAAGGTTTTTCAGCCGATGCCTCCACTCCCACAACTCCACATGGCGGCGATACCACTGATGTAAAAACGACTCCAGGTGGTGCCACCAGTAGCTCTAGCAGTGACAGCACCAACACCACTACGAGCGAAGAATCTGGGGAAGATTTAGGATATCAGCTTTTACAACAGGCCGTTCAACAGATGATGGAAGAAAAGCTTGAAGAGCGGAAGGAGAAGGAGAAGGAAAGCGAAGACCTCCTGAAGCAGATTCGCCGTGGCGCGCCCCTTCTTGAATTGTTGATGCGGCAAGGTTTAGATGAGAGCTCAGAGGAAAAAGAAGGAGAGGTGAGGGACTTAGCTTGAAAAACCTAGTCCATTAGAGAGAGTTTGAGGTTGATTGACGTAAAACGTGAATTTCTGTAAAAAATCGATTATTCAATGATGATGATATAAAGTATACCAGTATTTATGTCAACGTATTTTTGAGTAGGCCCTTTCGCATAAATTTTAATAAATACAGTTGCAACAATCCATATATTTTGTCGTTGAGAAAATATTTTTTCGTTTAGACAAAGTTTAAAAATGGCGACCGTGTCCGCGTAACCACTGATTATGCGAAGGCCAAGGAACTGCAAGAAAACTACGGAGGCTGGAATGAATTCATGCGGTCGGTAAGTCTCGTTTTTTATATCAGTAATTCAATGTCAATATCAATGTCATTCTTAACAATATAGGTACAAGGTCAACATTCTACGTCTCATCATGAACATTAATTACCACTGGATGTGCCCTATTTGTAGTAAACCAGCGCTACATTCTAATACATATGACTTAAGATTTTTCTGTTGGTGGTAAGTTGCTGTCTTTTACTGACGCATAAACAAACTCCTGTTTCTCCTCTTAAACACTGTGGAAATGTACTAACAGAATGGTTAACTAAGACTGGGTTCCCATACATAGATCGACCCATCTGGATCGACTTAACCTCCTGGGGGTTCACGCTAAATTGCTATCAGGTCAAGATGCTTAAATGTCTGTCACGCCTACTGAATCAGCTGGGGGGGGGGGGGGTAAAGATAACTGTCCCTAACAGCTTTACTAGGCGTGACAGACATTTAAGCAGGTTACGTTGATAGCAGTTTAGTGAGACTCCCCAGGGAGATAGATCGATCCAAATATCAGTGGGAATGGTACCTAAGCCATCTTACACACTGGCATTGCACTAGAGCAGGTACGTACCAATATATCAGAAGTATATATTCTATCAAACGTTTTTTGTTTGTTTTAGTATCTTGGCAAAGAGGGGAAAGTGGAGCGAAAAATACTACACGTCGTCAAAGTTGGATTTCCAGACGGACAAATGTAAGGGTTTAATAGTTTAAAGATTTAATCTTAAATGGTGGCATGGATTTCTATTTGTAGCAGTGTAGGTTAATTGTTCTAAATTTGTCACGTTGGTATTTTATTAAAAGTTGGATTTGCAGAACAAAGTGCATATCACCTTTCTGCTAGATAACTTGGTATCAGTGTTGTTTGTGTATCGTTCTTCGTTAGAACATTATGTATATATTAAAATTACATTAGCATTTCAGCAAACAATTTGCAGTTTAAACATCTCCCACTAGGTGTCTCTCATGACTTCTAACCCCGAAAACTTAATAAATCTGTGAAGACCTTTCATCAACTGTAACAGATATGGATATTATTCGCTTAATCCGATGAAATTTAAAATAATATATATATATATATATATATATATATATATATATATATATATATATATTGAGTTTCTGTGGGTAATCTACTTATTATCTTTTTTTTCCGATCTTCAACTTTTGCAGATGGTCTTTTAATCCTGAACTGTTGACGAAACTGACTGAAGATGGCTCTGCGGTCGGTGGAACCTCTCCAAGCGAAGCTGCAAAAGAAACCAAGCGAGACAAAAACACATCCCACGATGAGATAGTCCGCGGCTTGTTCAAACGGTTTGATGTGGTACAAATAGCCGAAGAAGCCGAAGTAGTGAAACTTCTGCAAAAAGGGCATGGGGGTTGGAATGAAAAGATGACATTGGTGAGTTTTTTTGACTTGTTTCGAGTGATGAGTTTTGCTTCTTACAGGTGTACAGTAGTACCATGCAATGCGCTTTTAAGGTAAATTTTCTTGCTTATGTGGATATGCAATTTTAAGCTGATGTACAGTTGTGGTAGCAAGTTTAACGGTGTGTTTGTACCAAAGCAGTTGCCCATATTTTACAGACACATGTATATATACGAGTATTGTAACACCTTTTCCTCCGTTGTCTTCTCTTTTAGTGTCTTGGTATCAAGGGACTCATCAACAGAGTGGACAAAGACGGAGACGTTTTTGTGGAGTGCATCAACGGGGACGAGTAAGTTTTGTGTTTTTTGTTTGCGTGAAAGAGGTTGTAACTTAATTGTCGGTATAAAGTTAAGCAACGTGATAGCCAACGATGAACGCTCTAGATAGTTCTATTTCCCAAACATCTGTGGAGCAAAGTGATTGATGGCTAAGTTTTATGACAGTCTATATCAAGATTTCTTTATATTTGTGGCGTTTACAGGTACCTGTATGTTGTTTGCTAATTTGCTGTCAGGATATTTAGTTTTTGGCAGTGTTGTAAAGAAACTTCTGTCTGTCATAGTGGGGATTTTCTACAATAATCTACAATACTTTCCAGAAAAAATACATTCAGTACGTTTTTTAAAATAAGCTGTCTGTTCCATCTTCCAGTTGGACCTTCAACCCTGAAATTCTAATCAAGGTAGAAGATGACCCCAATGCCGAAATCGAGGCTGGTGATTTCGTCTTGATAAAAAATGTCACTAAGAGCGAGGCTCAGGAACTCCAGAGAAATCACGGAGAATGGGCTAATGGAATGGAACGGGTAAACGACTTCGTGTTAGAAAAAATTAATATACGCGCGCGCGCGCGCGTGTGTGTGTGTGTGTGTTATTGTCAGATTATTCGTTATAATTTTCTTCAAACCACGAATCAAAATCGCATTATTGCGTGTGTCGCTGCGTGCCACAAGGTTTATGGTTTGTTGTTTTGCGGAGGCCGATGTGAGTTATAGAACCATGCCGTGTGTGTTTCACAGCATGTGGTGCTCATCCTTATCGAGATCATTGGTGTGGTTCCAGAAAAGTGTGTTGATGTCATCTTGCTCCGCTTGATAAAATGTGGTTGCCTTGCCACCATCTGTTTGATTATTTCGTGAACTTTCAGAATCTGCCAGTTTATAGCTTCCCGTGAACATAACGTTTAACTGACTCTATAAACCAGCTAATAAATTTAGCAAATAATTTACAAATAAGCAATTATGTACTTTTGAATACATGTAGCAAGTCGATTTTGCACGGAATACTATCGTTATAATATGGCATTTGTGTTGTTTTTTTCTCCGTGTAATAATGTGATACTAAAACAACGCCACGTTATAAGCAATTATAGCAGTATGTCTTATTTTGTAAATATTAGCGGACCGAGTTTTCTAACACGCCACCGTGCATGTTCAATACAAAGTTATTACATGTATCAGAGAAAATGGCGAATGGCGTGCAGCAATTATCTTTTTTGGCATTAATTGATTCTGCCTCCACCTTGGGATCATAATATAAATGTTAACAGAGCTCTATAGCTACATGTATAATGGTTAGTGCAGCGCATTATCAGTGCAACTATAACTTAAAATAGTGTTTTTATGTCTCAGCCTTATGCTCTTATCACTCTGTTCCCTTCTATTATTCACAAACCCATATCAATTCATATATTGCCACCGACTAACATAATTTGCAAAACCTTTCATCATCACCGTCATCATAATCGTGCCTATCTCCTGCTCGACTTTTTGTAACATATACATGTATATGGCACAGCGACCTTTTTGTGGTTTTTGCATGAAAAGAGCCAATCTTTAATATTTCATAATAAACCTGCTGTTGAACGCCCAACTGGTTAATTATTTCTCTATTATTCACAAACAAGGAATCGTCCTTGAAGTTGAAGAATAACTTCATTTCAGTGGACTGATATCATTCCATCGATCCCCTTCAGCCGAGTCTGAGCGTGAATTTCCTGTTTGCATATCATGGCTGGGCATAGTGAAGACCGTTCATGCAGGGAGCTATTAACCTGATACTGTTTTATTTCCAGTCTCTAGGACACACAGGGATAGTGAAGGCTGTTTATACACTATTAACACATACCTGTTGTATTTCCAGTCTCTAGGACACACAGGGATAGTGAAGGCTGTTTATACACTATTAACACATACATGTTGTATTTCCAGTCTCTAGGACACACAGTCATAGTGAAGGCTGTTTATACACTATTAACACATACCTGTTGTATTTCCAGTCTCTAGGACACACAGGGATAGTGAAGGCTGTTTATACACTATTAACACATACCTGTTGTATTTCCAGTCTTTAGGACACACAGGGATAGTGAAGGCTGTCCATACAGGGAGGCATTAACCTGATACTGTTGTATTTCCAGTCTCTAGGACACACAGGGATAGTGAAGGCTGTTCTGAAAGGGGACAGGGTCCGTGTGGAGGTGGCAAGACATGTGTGGATCTTCAACAAAAAACTCGTCAAGCTGGTCGCCAAATCAGGTAATTGAGGGGTGGAGTGGGGGGATAAAGGTGCTGTGTTTAGGCCCATAGCCATGCAGTTGGGGTCTTTTTTTCTAAAAAATTGAAAAGTTAAACCCCTTCAATCGACCCATATTCAGAAGTGATATACACATATGACCAAAATATCATTCAGGGTGGGCTTTCCAACCGAAAGGGCGGTTCTTCCGGCTTCGTTCGACCACCTCTCCTGGCTACTGCTCTGGTTTTGTTGAACTGTGGTATACTTGTATGTGTTTATACTCTACATCGTATGTCAGTTACATGTTTTAAAAAAATGTGACCATTAAATATCCTTTAGCTTTCTCGATTTGGACAATATAGATAAATATAATAAAAATTTCACATTTTCTGTTCAATTTTTGTATGTCTCGTCAGTGGGGGCATTGCTGTTTTTGTCATTTCTAATCATATTTATTGAAATTTGACGTTATTTCTAACTTTCACACCTAACTGATAATAGGATATGTGGGTGTTTAAGTATAAGATAACGAGAACATGACTGGTTTTGTTGAACTGTGGTATACTTGTATGTGTTTATACTCTACATCGTATGTCAGTTACATGTTTTTAAAAAAATGTGACCATTAAATATCCTTTAACTTTCTCGATTTGGATAATATAAATAGGTATAATAAACATTTCACATTTTCTGTTTAATTTTTTTATGTCTCGTCAGTGGGGGTGTTGCTATTTTTGTCATTTCTAATCACATTTATTGAAATTTGTCGTTATTTCTAACTTTCGCACCTTACTGTTTAATAGGGTAAGTAAGTGAAAAATAACGAGAACATGTATGCTATTGAATTGTCAGATTACATTTTGATTGAATTATGTAAGAACTGTAAATTTGGAAATGCGAATTTATTTGTCTAAGTCATATTCCGATAATTTTCAACTTAAGATTAGAATGCTTTCAAGCAAGCAAATACTTTTTTTCTGATATTTTTTGCAAAGAAATGGCAATGCCATTTGATGAGTTCACAGCGCTCTCCTTGAATTATTGCCAAAACATTTTTCTTCTTTCACTTTTCTTTGTAGGCCTAATGCTGTACATTTTTTTATGAAACCCCAATGCGTGTACCTCAATGATGAGAAGTAACCAACTATTGTCTGATTGTAGAAGAAATGCTAGAGTGCAAATATAAAATAAATCATCATCTAATCTACAATAGTTTGCTTTATATTTTTAATTTCAGAGGAGATGTTGGTGGCCATTTTGAAAAGGAAATTTGGCATGTGAAGTACTTTCCATGTGGCCAGGTAAAGGATGGCAAGTCATTTGGAAGGCAGATTATATGAAGACGATGAAACGTCATCAAATCTGTAGTGAATTTTAGTAGCGGAATATTTTGTGTTTATGTCCCATGACAATGTGAATGTATAAGGAGTACTCAGCATTAGATTTTAGCTATAATATTTTTTGAGCAAGCCCACGCGCGATGTGTGCCAAGAAGTATATCTAGTAAACAATTTATTTTTTAATAAATTGTTTACTAGATATACAATTTATTTTTTAATGTTATATTACTGCTGTTTATTTCCATCTTGAGTCGGCATATTAAAAACACTAACATGGAAGACATTATAAGTTTTGTTTTGCTAAGTTGATGGCGTATTAAATTTTTTCAATGTACTTTTTTTACTCTCTGCTATTGGTAAAAGAAATGATCTACAGGGTATATGTCTATCTCGTCATTATAAAGATGATTGTCAAAATATGTTTACTATAACGGCGAGGCATGTCCCGTGCACTTGAACTGCTAAATGATTGGAACAAATGTATACAAATATGTGTATATGTGCACATAGGGCATGGATTAAGTACAAGCATTATAAAGAAAGTATGTTGCCTTTGGTAATAAATTTTGCACCGTTGTGTTTCGGTGTTTGCATCCATGCAGTGTTTTTATTTATATTTAGTTGTTCCCTGTTATACTGTTCAGCAAGAATCCGGGACTAATAAATAATGCACTACAACATCGCCTGTATTCTACACGTATTTAAAAAGTGAATTTTTTGGAACATGTTTTCATGGTTATTATAGGACATATAGTTTACAATATATAAATTTATTTACCATGTAAGCAGTGCCTTCTGATTTGGGAGGTGTACAGGCTCATGCAGTGTTTATTGAAAAAAAAACGCAAGGTAGGTTCTTCTTCTCCAGATCATGCCCCTTTCATATTAAATACAAGAAGTGTGAGCGCACCGCTGAACTCCTATTTATAAATGATACTGTTTGACAGTTGCAGCTATTTTGAATATAACGTCTTAGTATGTACCAGTAAGTGTGTGCTTCTCAAAGTATAATTCAATAGATAGTGTCTACGTAGATATCTTGCGGGAATGTATGCACTTGTTCCATTACTGGTGCTCCATTAGAAATGGGGTTTATTTTCCAAATAAACATAATTTATAATTTTTCTATTATTTTCTCCGTGCTAGATTATTTAATTTTGAGATGTTCTCAAAGCAGCAAGTGGGATTTATTTAAATCTCGCTGCAGGGAGCCACTTTCCAATTCGAACTAACAGAATCACGTTACCACTGCGTCAATGAGACTTACATAAAATATCAAGGTCATGTCGGCACTCCCCCCCCCCCCCCCCACCGATACGTCCCCACACCAATACTCCCTGCACCGATACTACTTGACAATGTAATTTGTTAGTTGAGATTAATTTATAATACTGCCGGTAGATGTCTCTATAAGTAAAGCACAGTCCGACGTGCAGGTTGAAACTTTTCCTGTGACGTTGCGCAATCTCTCCTGATTGGTTACAGAGGTAAAACTGTTCACTGTCTAACTTGCTCTGATTGGCGACCGTGTACATAACTGAACCGTTTATAAGGGTTTCGGCGAAATCAATCTCTCTCTACTCTCTTCTCTTCCTATGACAGAATATGTGTAACTGACCGGCAAGTTTGTGGCTTTTGCTAGTCCACAACCGCGTCACCCCCAAGTAAATTTTGGCATCATGCCCATCGATTTGACCCCTCGCCCAAAAAGCCCGCATCAATACATCCCCTGTAAAGTTAGTGTTAAGCGTTACTCCCCCACACCGGTACCCTCCCCCCCGCATCTTCCTTCCCTGCATTCTTATTTCCCTGCATAGTTTGTTATTCCTCTGCATCATTACTCCCCTTTTCAGTTTTCATAATACCGACATTGTTACTCGTCAATATCATGTTAAAGTAGGCCATACACATTTTATAAGTTTGCTAACGAGTCGGTAGCACGGTCTACCCTTAATGGAGAAATGCATAGGGTTTTGATTGGATGTGGAAATTAAAGTTACTAGTACAATTGGCCGCGGGTAAATCCTTAACCAGTCTGTTTATCTCACCTTCAAAATACCACCTGTGTGATTATTTGGGATAGGAATTATTTACATCTTTGAGCGGGTGTGTCCCAATAGTCGGATGTTGCTTGGGGGGGGGGGGGGGGGGGGAGGGTTCTATCCAAACTGTCCACAAGCATAAAATGGATGGGAAATCAGTATTTGGCATATGAGTTGTTTAAAGTTGTTCAAAGTTGGAAAACAGCATAAAAGACAAAAAATACTTAGGCAAAGCTGGGTCTCGATGTCGATTCGACGTTTCGTTTTTACTATTTTGTCTTGTGATGCACTTAAGGAACCGAATAATTTTATACCAACGTTTTTTTGAAAAACCTTCATCTGCAGAGTACACTGCACAGGAACACGTACAGTGTGTCTTATTGAGCACGGTATACCCTAATTGGAGGAAATGCTTTTCTTTTTCAAATGAAGGAATGCATTAGATATTGAATTGGTATGTGGAAATTAAAGCTACTTGTACAATTGGCCCCGGGTAAATCCTTAACGTTGTTGCTTTTATGCTTTGAAATCACCTCCAATTTGGATTTGACACTTTGTACAAGCAATATTTTTGGTAAAAAATTATCCTCGTTTTGGACTCGAGAATTATCAACAAGTTTAGAAAAATTTTGTGAACTTAAATGTAGGTAAACAGGCGGGACATATCATTTTCTGTAAACTTTAATTGCCTAAATTTCAGTTGAGCCCGTCACATCGAAATTGCGTCTATCAATTCAGAAAGGATAAAAAGAAAGAAATGTATTTTTGTAGATAATACATTCTGTTCTTTATTAACACGGATAATTGATATGAATAAAAATAATAAGCATCTTATCATCTAAATCCTTTAAATTCTTTATAATCATATTTCCACTGATCGATGATTTTTTTCTGCTAATAATCCTAGACACTTCATTACATGTATATAAAACAACCCAAACCATTTCTATCACGCTTTAAGTTTTACTTTTAAACATCTAGCATGACATCACTACATCTTGTCTGATAATAGAACGTATGCAACATGTAAAATGATGATAATTACTATAGTTAATGCTCTGAAAGTGCACAAAAAGATGCACCTTTTTGAATACATTCCATTGTGTTTTAGTTTAGGATACATGTATAACATATATATCTGGGTGCTCATAATGTCAAAATTACTTGCTTATTCATGTATACACAACGGGACACGTACTTATATAAACATAACATTCTGTTCCCGCTGATAATATAAGACATACATGTATGTAAATAAGTCGTTGTAATGTGTATGAAATCAGGAAAATGTGACTATGCACTTTCCAAATAATACATCTGGTTGTTTACCGGCTGATGATACATGTGCATATCAGTTTACAAGTCGATGGTCTGTTCACAAAGCCAGTAAAAGATGCCACTATGACGCACGATTTTTACTGCTACATCACATTATGTTCAGTATATAACATAACACACATGTACAAACTTGTTATATAGTCCGACCAAAGTCAGATGAAGATGCTACAGTGCTACATACATACACACATTCAAGATGTATTACATGTACATACAGTATACATCTTATCTTCAATAATAAAGCTAGTCGTCATATGGCTCACAAATACGCCACAAAATAAGTTAAATCCTCCTTAACCATTTTTTAGCTTATAATTTGACTCAAATGTCTTTAACTTGCTATATTGCTCACATATTCTGATTGAGCTGTCATATCATGTGCATGTTTACTTTAAATTACAGTTTTTGGCTACATATAGACTTTAAGCTATTTATAAAACGTATATGCACATCACTAAATTCACCGGTCACTGGTAATATATGCATTCCGCTAGAGACAGCTTGGGGGGGGGGGGGGGGGCTGTCTATCAATTTTTACTGTCTTCTCCACGTTGGCTCATACACACCTAGAATGTCTCGCAGAATTTTAAAATTTTATGTTTTTTTGTAATCATATCCTTAAAGGATCAGTTGGAAAAGGTCCAACCGCACCCTTCACCCCCTTCTAATTTCACCCCCTTCTAATTTCATCAGCTTCTACTTCTTAAGTACAGACATTTGTACAGAATGCTAGCTTGTTGCATCTTACTTTGAAGCAGGTATATTTGCAAGACTTTAAGTGGACTGCCCTCTATTAATGCTGCTTCAATCTACACCATTTTCTTCAAAATTTAATTCAACTTTTGACTCAGATCCACCTGTGAAATTGTCGCCAACCATCTAATACTTTCTGAGTAGGCGTAACCCAATTATATCAAACGTTATGGCATTTACTAAAGTGAATGTGTAAAACACATCCCTCTTCCCCTCTATGTAAAATACAAGGGGTACCTGAGGTTAGAAATATAAGATAGCATAGGTTTTAAATGGTGTATATGAAAATGCTACATATATATGTACATGTCCCCAGTAGGCTAAATGGGTTTTTAACTTTATAATACACAAAATATTCATATGCAACACGTAAAATATCAGTCGCTCGGCTTAAAGCAATAATAACTCTTCCTTTGAGATTCAAAATTCCGCAAGAAATACATTGTAAACAACGCCTGGAAATCTATTCTATTTCATTTTCCCACTAAAACGGCTGTTATTGTAGTAAAACTAAAATCTGTGCTTGTCACTTGGGCTTTCGATGCCTTTCTTCGCGGTCGACAAGTGCATCCGTTGACAATGACGTTTAGGTGTCACGCGGATTCTCGCGTTCATTTGAGACCAAAATAACATGGCGGGAAACCCATAGACGTAAGTTGCGAGTTTTTGTACAGTGCGTCGGATAACGAAAAGCCCAGAATTGCACACATTGTAGATATAAATGCATTTTGAGCAATAAGAGGAATATATCTTATGAATCTTATAATATTGTTATATAGTGTTCTTGTTGTCTGCTTTTCCCGCGGTTTTAAGTAGGTCACCAGAAACTATCGCTCGATATCGCGTGAACTTGCCATGTCAGAGAGAGGGCTCCGTCAGTTAAAATCCCTTAAGAGATTTTAACAAAAAACCGTACGTTAAGGAAAAAAAACCTGGATTAACTTTGAATTTGTGTTTGAATGTTTGGGCAAAACGAAGAGTTATTATGACTTTAAACAACATATTT